AACAATAGGGAAGGGTGGGAACTGAGGTAAGCTAAGGAGTACCTGTCTCATTCAGTGAGGGCAGCCACTAACCACACAGCTCCAGCTGAGTTCATAGTAGAGGTTGTACCAGAATATGAACCCAGAATTGTCAGTTCCGCCAAAATTTCAAGAGAAGATGGAAAGCCAGACATTGATGCAATATCTCCTAATTTTAATGTTGGCAATTAATTTTTTGTTTTGTTCGAATACTGGGTAAATCAAACAAAGCATCCCAAGGGCTGGATCTAGCTTAGGCCGACCAGTTTGCACCTCATGGGCCAGATGGACTGTGTGACATCATTCAGCTCTTGGGTCTCTGACCTGTGAATGCCTGTGAAGATGGGTCCCCAGGTGTCACCAGGTTTCAAGAACCTGGCTCTCCCTCTGGGATTTCTAAAGAGTTTGTGAAAAGAAAAGAGGAAGAGAGGGCAAATTTATACTGAACATTTAGAACTGCTTTTTGCGTTATATGGCTGTGTATTTTATTTAATTCTCACAACAATGATAGGGTATAGGTATTATTCTCCAGGCCATACAGATAAGGAAATAGATACTTAAAGAGTTTAAGAAAATTGCTAAAGGTCACAGAGATAGTAACCAAAGCTAATGGAGCTGGGATTTGAACTTCTGCTCAGACCCCTATGCCTGGATTGTCCCCCTCACCCCACTGCCTCTCCTCTGTATTAAGAAAAGCTAGGATGGGGGCCGGCCGAGTGGCGCGATGGTTAAGAACTCGCTTGGGATGCCAGAGGGCCCCGGTTCGGATCCCACATATGAGGGCCAGTGACACTTCCCTCCGCAGCTAAGATGCTGAACAACAGCTCAACCTGGAGCTGGGCTGACATGAGTCGCTTGGGATGCCAGAGGGCCCCGGTTCGGATCCCACATATGAGGGCCAGTGACACTTCCCTCCGCAGCTAAGATGCTGAACAACAGCTCAACCTGGAGCTGGGCTGACATGAGTCGCCGGCGACGGCTTAGGCTGCAGCCCCTGTGGCAGTGGGTTGCCATGGGCTACCGTGTGTAGCCAGCAGCCAGCGGCCAGCAGCTGCAGTGAGCGGCCGAGTGAGCAGCCGTCCAGAAGCCGGCGACTGATCTGCCTCACCCGGGGAAGAGCGCAATGATGGTGCCAACTTGGGCCAGTGAAGCAACATCCTCCACAACTAGACTGAAGAACAAAAAACGACAGCAACTTGTCTGTCCCCCTTCCCCCAATTCCCCAGAACTGTTCCCATCCCCCCAATTCACCAATAAAAAAAACTAAAAAAAAAAAAAAAAAAGAAAAGCTAGGATGATGACTAAGATGTCTTCGCCCACAGCAGTGGAGGGGTAGGAGGCCAACAACCTCATCTGGGGTATCTGAGGCTTAGCATCACCATGATCCCTCATATCTATAGAGTGATTTTCCATGTTCAAAGCACTTTCACATACATTAGCACATTACTATCCTCATTTTGCAGAAGAAGAAACTGAAATTAAGTTATCTACCCCATGATACGACGGGAAGCATGGAGCATGGGAATTTCTAGAAGTCTTCTGATTCCTGGTGGAGAGCTATTTTTCCTGCGTGGTCTGTTTCTAGGCTGGAGCAGAGGGAGGAGGTCACATGGGAAGAAAGAAAGGGGAAGCAGAGGGAAGCCAACATCAAGGCTGACAGAGTGTTAGGGGCCTGCCACTGGGGAAGGGGGAAGGCCACCTGTGGAAGCCCATGGAAGGGAAGTTGGAAGCCCCAGGTGCAGTCCTGTGGTGGCCTCCTTACCAAAAACATCTGCAACTGCACTGACACCCTTTGCAAGGGTGGTTGGGGGCAGGGCTTGACAATTTGGGAGGTGGGGAGGGGCCACAGAGGCTGTTCTCTGCGAAGCAGTCTGAAGGGCTGACCCATCTCCACCCTGGCCACATTCTCCCTAGCTCCATAACCCCTTTCTGCACCTCTCAGATGAGTGGTTCCTGGGTCTCTTGCACTACAGGGGTGCTATGAGCAGGCAAATTTCAGAGCTCAGCCTGGGCTCAGCCAGCTGGCACCTGCAGCCTTTTGGAGAAACTGTCAGCCACAGAGTCGAGCAGATACAACCCATCCCCATCCCCACCCCAACCCCATTCCTTCAAAGGGTGAACTCTATCTTGGGGGGTGCCTAAGCAAGGTCACCTAAGCTCCTTGCTTACCTCCTTTGTGGGAGGAATAGCAACAGGGGCCCAGGCCTAAACTCTAATACCTCAGCCTGGTAGGGGAGGTGGGGCAGGGAAATTTTGGGGCCTACCCTGCATCATAGAGATCAAAAGACCAGATCAAGGGTAGGGGAACACATTGGCAAATGTGACCACAGGTCTGAATGAGCGCAACATGGCCTCTTGCCTGACACACTTGACTTGGCAAGGCTCTGGGTCTCATCTTGCCTCCAGAACTTCTGGACAGTGGACAATGGAGGAGGCTGTCAGGTCCATGGCAGGGCTGGGGGTGGAGGTACTCAGAGATACCTCTTCCTCTCTCATGGTCTATCTCTCTTACAGTCACTGTTTCCCACTGTGATAGCCATGATGCAAGATGGCCCCCAATGATTCCCGCCTCCTTCATTTCACATCCTTATGTTTCCCCCTCCCACGTTACACCAGCCTTGGTCTGCATGACCAATAGAATAGGGCAGAAGGGATAGCACGTCACTTTCCAGATTAGATTATAAAGGCATGATAACTTTTGTCTTGGCCATTCTCTCCCTCTAAGGGAAGCCAGTTGCTATGTCATGAGTGACCCTAAGAAGAGGCCGACATGGGGGTGGGGCAGAACTAACTAACACCTCTGGCCAGCAGCCACCCGAGGATCTTTCTTGGAAGGAGATCCTTCAGTCCAGCCAAGCCTTCAGCTCTGGCTCACATCTTGGCAGCAACCTCACTAGAGACCCTGCCTCAGAACTGCTCAGCTCAGCTGCTCCTGGATTCCTGACCATGTGAAATAATATGTTTGTTGTCTTAAATTACTGAGTTTTGGAGTGATGTGTTATGTGGCAATAGAAAACTAATACATCTTTTTCTTTTTGATAGGGACCTAAGATGATCCCTCCCCCAAGCCCCATTGGGCCCCACCCGGCTCCCTGCCTCCTTGATGTCTCTTCCTCTCCAGGTCCCCAGCCTGGAACACCGGTTCACAGATAAACTGGGAGATGCGTGATGAATTAACCTTGCTCCCTGGAAGGCCTTAAGAGGAAGCAAAGATGGCAGGCGATTATCTTGCTGGAGCTTTGTGGGGAAAGGGGAAGGAGAAGGAATGTACCATTCCCTAGGAGACATCCCATAGGGAAGGGGGTAAGAATTAAAAGGAGCACTGTGTGCACAAGCCCCATGCCTCCTCTTCCTTCCGCCCTTTGCTCTTCACTTCCTTAGTGGGTGGAGAAACAAAGTGGCCCTTCACTCTGCCCCTTTCCTTTCCCTGTCCCCTTTGTGCAAGAGCACGGGGAATCCCCTGTATAGATAGATGGTGGTGAATCCTCAATGACTACTCTCATAAGCCCAAAGGGCATAGGGTGTTACCTAGTAGAAAGGCAAAATGCCACCCACAGAAAAGTCCAGGAAACCCCTGTCCCGCTAAAACATGGGGGTTCCTGCAAACTTGTTCCCATTCTCTTTAAATATTTTTTTCCTTCCTACCTGGGGTTAAAGTTCCCTGACAGAGCTGTCTGTGGCCAAAGTCCAGAGTCCTGCACACATTGCAGGTGGAGGTCTAGGTTCCTGTGGGGGTGCTGCCGACTGAGGCTGCGTGTGTGCTCTGCTGAAGGATGGTCTGAACGGCCCAGATAAATGTTCTCTCCAAGAGAGAGACAGAGTGAGGGGGCAGGCAGGCTGAAGGGTCTGCGATATCATTCCTGGCATGACCAGAGTAGGCCTGCTTCCCCCTTCACAAGTGGACGATCAGACAAATACATCACATACGTGGAGCATGTCACAGTTTTCCAAGCCCAAGCCCATTTATTATCCGATATTCTCAACAGCCCATTTGGGTGGGTTACTATCATTATCCCATTTAATAGGTGAGTAAACTGAGGCTCAGGGCGATCAGCTCTGGTCACATCAGCATAGCTGGGATCAGAAGCCAGGTCCCCTGACTCCCAAAGCTGCAGCAGCAGCCAGCTGTCTTGCTGGCTGTTCTCCCCACGTGGGGCCTTTGTTCACAGCATTCTCCTTTGTCAGACTTCGATAGAACCTTGCCAGGACCAGGGCCAGGGCCAGGGCTATGTGTCCCAAGGTATGCATTGTTCAGTCCTTCTCCTGGCAGGTGTACCGGGCATCTGACAGCTGCTGGGTGCACACTCATATGCGGACCATAGCAAGTGCACCCCACAAAGACAGTGACTGCACGTGGGGATATGTGCCTCCCTGTATACTGCACTGCTCATCTCTGGCCTGCCCCAGTCTACCCAATGACCTCCAGTGGTGTGTGACAAACAGTGACCACTGGGTGGCAGTGTGTTCTCATGCCAGGGACCAAACAGGTCCCGAAGAGCTGTGGAACTGGGGTGGGGGGTGGGGGCAGAGACTGGCATGAACCTCAGCCTGAGGCCCAGAAAGGTCACAAGACCTCATCTCCTAGAGGACTTGACATGGTAGGGTTGCTGTGTGTGTGCAGCTAGAGGGCCAAGGACAGTGCTGAAGTGGAGCTGAGTGTGGGGTGGGGTAGGGTGGGCCACAGGAATAAAAATATAAAGGAAACCAGGGCAGCCAGCATGAGCCAAAAGACTGAGGGAAGTGCATTAGAGGTAAGGCGTGAGGGCTTCTTGGTGCTTCAGAAAAATGATTACCCAGGAGAGAGCGAGAGCAAGAAAGAGACCAAGGAGGAATGGATCATGGAGAAGCCAGGAACATAAAGGCAAAGTTAAGAGAGATGGGTTGGGGAAAGTAGGTCAGAAGGCTGGGGTGGGAGAAGGGAAGCCCCAGAGGCCGGGGAGAGACAAGAACCTTCCCTGGAAAAGAAGGAACCAGACTCGGGCTTGCTGCTGATGGGAGTTTATTTGGACTGTGCTGTGGACATCTGCTGGCTCCGTCCGCTCCAGGTCAGGGCTGCTGTGGCTCCAGCTCTGCCTCTGTCTCTGCCTCTGGCTCCACCTCCGGCTCCGGCTCCGGCTCCGGCTCCGGCTCCGGTTCTTGCTCCAGATCCCCTATCTTGCTCTGAGCCTGAGGTAGGTGAATCCCATGCTCTAAGGCAGAGAATCTTCTTGGTCGCCACTGTGGGGAGACATGGAGGGGTAGGAAGAAGAGAAGGATGAAGAGAAAGGGAACAAGGAGGATACTGAGACCATCTATTCTCTCTCAGCCCCCAGTCCTCCCCATCTAATCCCAGGCCTTTTCTCAGCCCCTTCCAGCCTCCCTTGGGTTCTTTAGGCACAAGAGAGTACAGAGGCTTATGGAGAGGGGGCTCTAAAGGCAAGTTCAGGGTCCACCTTGGTCATCTTCCCTCAGGAAGGGGAGCTAGACAGGATTCCAGGAACTGGGGAGAGGGGAAGCCAGTGGCAGGAGGGGTGGGGGTGTCCCTGGCTCACCTGTCTTCTCCAAAGGTGAAAGCCAAAGACTCCAGCCACCAAAAGCAACAGCAACAGGACACCGAGGGTGAGAAAGACAGGGAGATGGTCTGTTTTCAGGGTACCTGGGACTCTCCCAGAGTGCTGGGCACCTACAGAGAAAGTACAGGATTAGGCATAGGGTCACAGCTGAACTGGCATCTTGCCACACCCTCATATTTTACAGATGCAGACAACGAGGCCCAGAGAGTTTAAGGGACTTGTCCAGGACCACTAAGCTTATTAGTGGCTGAAGTGGGTCAGGCCTAGACAAGAGCTGAAGGTCAGATCCCTGACTGAAAAGAAAAAGCTGTGAAGGGGCGGGAAAGTGGATCAAGAGGACTGGTCTGCAGTTGGGGCTGTGGCGTTGTGGGGTCTCAGACCTGGGCCAGACAGCTTAGCGAAGTATACTGCTGTTCCGAGAAGCCTCTCCCCCTGGTACAGATGGCACTGCCAGGGCCGGGAAAGAAGGCTGGCCTCCTGCACCTCCAGCCAGGGTCCTGGGGAACTCCTCCAAGATGGCTTATCCAGGGGGCTCCACACAAAGCGCTCTTGTCCAGATGCTGGAGTCACCTCACAAAGCAGTTTTCTCAGGTTGCCAGGTAACCCAAAGGATTTGGGAGTCACTGAAAACATTAGAGGGAAGAGATCTTTTGAGGCCCCAGCCCCCTTACTTGATACCATAGATTCAACTCCCAAGTCTCAATCGCCCTGCACTCTCCAGGGCTCTGATTGGGTGAGGTTGAGGGGAGGAGATCAGGGTCATGGCCAAATTAATCTTATCAAGACAAAGTTCTGGTCAGATCACTCTGCTGCTCAAAAACTTTCCAGGCTCCCTACTGCCTTCAGGGGACTGTTCACACTCAAACTGGCCCAGAAGGATCACATAAATGTTATTTCAGATTCTTTTACATTACTGTCTACTCAAATACTCAGAGCCCCCAATGTCTGTCAGGTGAGCTGGCCCCCAATACGCTTTGCACTTTTCCTGCTTCCACAACTTGGTTCACATCAGTGCCCCTGCCTTGTGGTGCCCCCTGAATGAACTCTCCCCCTTTCTGAATGTTTGAAGAACAGTGAACTGACCAACCAAACTAGAGACAGAGCATCTCAAAGCTGAACGGTGAGACACCCTGTGGGTAAAAGGAGACAAAAGGTGAAGAGCCTTGAGCTGAGCCTGGTGTACAGAAACCTGAAAATGTGGTGACACAGACACAGAGTTTAGACCCCAAGTCTGGCACTTCCCAACCGTGTGACTTTGGGAAAGTTCCTTCCCTATAAAACATGAGATAGCATGGGACGCTGACACAAAACAGTAGACCCTCAAGACGACCTTGGACAGAAAGAATTGGTGGGCTTTGGTGACTGACTGGACATGGTGGAAGGAGGAGGCCAGGTTTCAGGGTGTGTGGGATGACAGTGGGGTTACTGACAGGCTAAACCAGCAAGAGGAAAAAAGATGGGGTTCGGAATGAGGTTGAGGTGTAGCTACAATAGCTACATAGAGATATCCAGGAAGCATGTGGACATTCAGCATTGGCCCTCAGAATATGTATTCTTTGTTAGCATATTCATTTATTCATTCAACCAATATACATTATTATGCACCTACTATGTGCTGCTCCCATTTAGTGGCCACAGGTGAGTACTGCAGTCATAGCCAAGATGTCGTGGCTGATTGTTACCAATCAACCAACATATTTTCTGAGTGTTTGTTTGTTTGTTTTTATGTGTATGTTTGTTTTACACTGTCTTGAAAAGTCCATGCTCTGTAAATATTTGCTGATGGAGGGACTGATTTATTAACTCCTCCCAAATCCAGGCCACTTCCTGCAACTTTAGCCCTGGCCTCAAAGTGGGACAAGGATTCTAGAAATATATTCCATCCCTTTTGAACCACTCAAACTTTTGCCACCTCTCTAACTTCTCAGACCCTCCCCTGAATTCACAGCAGGGGATCCCCTTAGAGAAGAGTGGAACATTCACCTAGTGACTCAGGGGAGATTTTCAGTTTCAGTTCCAGTTCTTTACATATGGGGGCGAGAAAAGAGGAGGCTACCAGGGGCAGGCTCTGCAACTTGTGCCCTGTGGCCTGGCATCATGAGGTGGATTTTGCCAGTCTTTGCCCAGCTAGCTTGCCCTCCCTGTCCCAGATCCCCAAGGATGGGAGCTACTCTTTTCCCACAAGGGGCTGACCTGTGATGACTGCCAAAGTGACAGTGGCACTGAGCTGCTGCCCCTGCAGATTGATGCGGCAGATGTAGGTCCCAGCCTGGGCCTGGCTCACAGCTTCTAGTTGAAGGGTAAAGTTGCCATCATCTTCAGTCACCAGTAGGTCAGGGCCTCCCCCAGGAGGGGCCCACTTGGCAGTGAGGGAAGACTGGGTCCCTATACCGGGAGGCAGGCGGCAGGGCAGCTCTACCCGGGAACCTGCTCCGGTGTACACTGTCAGAGGGACTGGGGGCTCCAGGCCTGGGGAGAAAAGGGAACTCAAAGTTAAAGCAAAGAAGAGGTAACAGGGGTTGGAGTGCTAGGTCTGCATTAAAGGGAGGCAGCAGAGTGAAGGAGGTGGTCCAGCTCTGCTGAATGCCAAGGAGCAGAATAAGGTGCATGAACTGGGGCAGCTCGGAAACCCAGGACGTGGGCTAGGCCAGCAGAAGACCAAAGGTTGGCAAGTGAGGCTGGATGGTCAAGGGAAAGATTCAAATGGAGAAGGTAACTGAAAGGCTGAATGGGGAGGGAGAAAGGGGTTGGGCAGGGAGGTCCAGGCAGTGAGATCCGGAGCAATTAAAGGTGGCATTAGAAGCCAAAGACCTGCTTTGGGGACCCAAAAGTCAGAGGGAGGTGACAGGGGGCAGGAAGGGGTTGTGGTCAAGTGTGATGGCAGACTGGAGGTGTTACCCAGAACAGTGAGGTTGTATGTGATGGAGACATTGAAGCCATCTCTGTAGGTGAGGATGCAGCCCCAGGGCCCAGAGTCCAAGGGGCTGACTCGGGGCAGGAAAAGGAAGCTTCCGTATAAGTGGTGATGGGGGGACTCCTTGACAGGGACTCTGCTTCGGCCCCGGAACCAGTGCACAGAAACTGGGAGGTCAGGACGGCTGAAGGAACAGTTCAAAACGACCCAATCGGAGGCCCTCAGAGACCCTGGAGTGCTGGCCGTCACTGCGCAAGAATAAAGGTTTGATCAGCTCCAGGGCAAACACTTTCCCAAGACGTCAGGCCAACCAAGCTGGAAGCTCCTGAAAAACGCATCAAGCTGTAGATTTATTTGTCTGCTCCTCCCCTTACTCAGCCCCTCAGCTCAGTACCTGGCACCTGGAGGTGCTTAAAATAGATGCCCAGTCTCCTGCCTACTTTTCCTGCTCCCTGCCTCCAATTTACTTGGCTTGGTCTACCCTTCCCTTTCTCCAGGCCTTGCCTAAGGATCCACACTAAGCCCACCTCCTGAGCTACAGATGTCTGAAATGAATCACTCTAGCCCCGCACCCTCCCTCCCCCCCCAAGAAGTCCTCCCCTCCTTCACCCAGGCACCCCCACTGTGGGTGGGGGAAGGGGGAGCTCAAGGGGTGATACAATCTCTCTCTAGGGCCCTACCCCCACACACGTGCTTCTCTGGGGGCACCTTCCACTTCGCAATCTGGATCCCCACCCCCTTCCGCTAGCCTTCTGGGGGCTCTCTGGCGGGCCTGCGGCGCATCCTTAGAAGCACAGCCTCTGCCCAGCCCTTCCTGCCTCCCCGCGGCGGGGAACCCAGTGTCCTCCTCCCACCCCGGCGCCCCTAGTCCTGCCCCCACCTACTCGAGGCCTGGCCAACGCGCAGATGGAGGCGGCAGACGAGGGCGTGGTCCCTGGAGCTCAGGGCGGCGCGTTCCCTGAGGCTCACGATGGCGCGGTATTCGCCGGCGTCGGCGCGTCGGGCGGGACGCAGCCACAGCGAGAAGTCGCCGCGCTGGAAGCCCCGCTCTTCCAGCTGCACGCGGGGCTGCAGGGGCGGACGCCCGCTGCGCAGGCCCCCGGGAGCCAGCCTCAGCACCGTGTAAAGGGAGGGCGCCGCCGGGCGCGGGCCGGGGGCCGGGGGCCCGCTGGGCGCGGAAGAGAGAGATGCGATGGAGACATTTAAGAGGCAAGAAGTCCCGAGGGAGATGCAGTCCCGCCACACTTTGAGGATGAGGAAGCCCACCCAAAAAGATCTCTTGACCACTAATTGTCCCCCTTCCCCTTCGTGTTGGGCCAGCACCATGCGTTGCTGAAGAGGCAGGCATCCTATGGGATGCAGGGATGAGGGGAGCAGTACGTGGAGGAAGGGGCTTAGGGTGCATAGCAGCAGGGGAGGCAGGCCACTGACTTCAGAGGGACTGACAGCTCAGGGGAGGGGACAAAGGGCTGGCTTGGGCCTTGAGTTGTGAATCTGGATGCCATTACTGTCGGATTTGGGAGTTCTTTGCCCAAGTTTGGGGTGCATACCTGTCTGGTAGATGCTGCCAAGTGACCGCTCCTGTTCGAAGAAGGCTGAGATCCTGGAGGGGGATTGTGGGGCTGCAGGGTAGCTGAGCAGGAGCCCCCTCCTGGGCCCACACCACGGGGACCTCTGCCCCAGGCCTTGGAGCCTCCACTGGGGTGGAAAAGAGAGGCCAAGGGGAGGGGCCGTGAGCCAAGTGATTTAAGTAGGAGTAGAGAAGGAGCCTGAGGAAGACCAGGGGTTCAGCCCCTTCCCTGCCAAGGGGGAGCTTGAAGAGAGGCTTTGGGACTGAAGGACTGCCCCAAGCAAGGCATGAGAAGAATCCACCCAAGCTAAGGACCTTGACATCCAGAGATCCCTGCTTCCCCTTGCCTGTGAATCTGGAGGTCAGCCCTTCCTGAGGGTCATCCACACCTTACCTGGAGCCACACACAGCAGTTGCAGAAGCAGCAAGACCAGGAACTGGGCCTTCCCCATCTCCCCTTAGGCCCGGGCCACGCTGAGCCCTCCAAAGGGAAGAGGTCAGAAAGTGGAGAGAGACAGCCAGACAAAAGACAGGATCTGCAAAGGTGGAGGTGGAGGAAGGGAATCTAGAGGAAGAGGGACAGAGACAGAGGCCTGAAGAGAGAGGGGAGGAACCAATGACCAGGGGCTGGAATCCAGAGGAAAGCTGGCCAGATCAGGCAGCCGGAGGGGCAGAGGGAGGGGTCCCAGGGCATGGGGCAGGGCAGTGGCAGAGCTGAGCAGAGGCCAAGTTGCTGTCTTGAGCTGAAAGGCTGGTCTGCTGCTCCCAGGGCCCTTGCCCCTGTCCTACCTTCCCTCCACCTTCCCCACTTCCCCTCCCCGTTGCCCCCCCACACACACACACACCCCAGGGCTTACGGTTTCGCTTCGCAGTGGAAAGTCTGAGGGGGTTGATTCCCAGCAGCATTACCCTCCACCCCTGTGGTGGCGCTCCCCTTGTTTATTTCCTCAGTCCTGGGTGTCCCCACCACCCCCTCGATCCCCTCCTCCACCTGCCTGTTCTCTTTTCTGAGTCCTTCTGCCCTTCTCTCCCAAAGCATTTCTGCCTGAAACTACCCGCTTGCCCATCTGCAAGCTGTCTCAACATTCTGCAAGTCCCAACATTCACACTTTCTTCTAGCCAGCCCTTTCTTTGGTACTCATCCCCCCACTCCTTCAACTTCCCAGAACTTCATTACCATTATAGACCTGCCTCCACACCCATCCAGACAATGACTCCTGGGAATAAGGTGGACAGGAAGCTTTACTGGACCCTAAAAGGTGGCAGGTTTAGAGAAGGGCACCCCAAGCCCAGGGAAAAAGATACTAGTGACATGATGTTGAGCCTTCACTGTATGCTAGGCACTGTATTGGACACTTGATATACATTGAGTAACTCATGAAATCTAATTGTTATTCCCCCATTGTACAGATGAGAAAACCGAGGCAGGCTCAGATTAAATAATTTGCCACGGTCAAATAGTTACGGAGCGTGAAGACAAAAACTGTGTGTAGTCTTGACTCTGGGTGGATTATGGATGTCTTTTGGGAAGAATGGTGGCATCAGTGAGTTACATACACTCTGCCCCTGTGTACTTTGCAGCTGCTCCCAATCCAGAGGTTCTGAACTGAGAGGACAAGGGTGATATGGAGAAATGCAAATATCCTGCAACAGAGATCAAGCTCTAGAAAAACTGAGGCAGAAGTAGTAGGAAGCCTGCGACTGCCAGAGGCGAACTCTTGCTCCCCACCCCACTCAACCAAAGGAGCCCAGCCAGGAGAGGTGGAGGGCGGATGCCAAGAACTTGCAGCCAGCCTGGGAACCACAAGAGGCCCTGGAGTTGTCCCCTGCTTGACCAGGAGCTCACTTGCTCAGTACCAGTTCTGATGCCAGGCAACTCTCATTCCAGGTCCCAGGAGGCTGAGACCCAGGCCTCCCAGCCCTCTCCCACTGCAGGGGTGGGACTTCCTGTTTCTGAGGCTTTTTCACTGCCTGGTTCAGCATAATAGGGCTGGTAGCTTTCCACTAGGCTCAGCAGTGTCTAGACCTGGTGTGGGCTAGCAGGGAAGTGTGTGTATTGCTGTGGGGGGAGCATCCCTCAAAATCCAGAAACAAGACAACAGCTCTCAAAGAAGCTAAGTTCCATGTCCACCTCTGGTGCTGACCTTGTCTTCTTGGGTAGTGGGTGGTAGGAGGGTGCTTTTTTATAGAAAGGTTCATGACAGAATGTGACATGGCCATCTTCCCTCCTCCCTCTGACCCGGAAAGCAGAAGACAGGTTAAAAACAGAAGCGCGACCATTTCTTTATTAAATTATACAAAAAGGTGAGAGGGACAGCTGTGGGGCTCAGTCCCAACCCTGGCCCCACCCCGGCCTGGCGCTGTCTGACAGAAGGGGATCTGAGGGAGACCCAGGAATCAGGCAGGTAGGGATAGGCAGGACAGGCGGCTGGGTAGCAGAGGTTCAGAAGGAGAGAATATGGGAAGGGGGCGGGGAATGGTTGGGGGGAGGGAGGGAGGAAGAGAGCAAGGAAAGGGAAAGGGACAGGGGCAACTGGGGACCAGCTGGGGAGCTCAGATGGAACAGGTCAGGAAGTGGAACGATGGCAGAGTGAGAATGGAAAGTGTCTGGAGAGGTGGACGTGAGAAGGCTGGGGAGAAAGAGGGTGGCAGCTCTGATGCAGGGTCCAGATCAAGGAGCCAGGTGAAGAGTGGCTGCACTTGTCTGTTCCTGCCCCCACCGCCAGGCCCTGAAGGGCTTCCCACCCCAGCCCATTGGCAGGGGGCTCATGCTGATGCCCCATTTTCTGTCTTCTGCCGCTTGGGATCAGCTTCATCCTGTGGAGAGGGAAAGAGCTGGGGTAGCTGTCAAATGCGAGAGGGACCTCCCAGGTCTGGCCCCGCCCATGCACCACAGGGATCTGGGTCCAAATCCAAAGGGCTCCCAGCCCCTGCTGCATCCCTGACAGCCCCTCAGGCCCCACAACCCAGCCCAAACCTCCTCTTCAGCAGCTCTCTTCAGCGCGGGCCCTTCGTCGTCATCTTCTTCTTCTTCCTCATCTGAGGAGCCAGAAATGGGTCATTGGAGAAAGGCAGGAAGTTCCAGCAGACCCCCTGTGGTGGCCCTTAGCCCTGCTTCAGGTCTTCAAGCCCACCCTAACTCTGTTCCTTGGAGCCCAGCCTCCCTGCCCATCCCCACCTTCTTCTTCCCCTTCATCTTCCTCCTCTCCATCCTCAGCAGTTTCTTCTTCTTCCTCCTCAGCTCCGTTCTCCTCCTCCTATGGGAAGCAAGAGTGGGAGCAGTGTCAGGCTGGCTGTATGCCTCCACCCACCATCACCACCAATGGCAAAGGGGCACTGGGAGGGCAGGGAGGGCAGGGAGGACGGGAGGAGTCAGAGGAACGACAGGGCCCAGCCTCCCAGGAAAACAACAAGAGGGGGATGGTGGGCAGGTGTGGTCACAACCCCCCAGCTGCCTGACCCCTCCATACCTCCACCACTTCTTTCTTTCGCTCTTTCCGGCTAGCTTTCTCCTCCACTTTCTCTTTCTTCTCCTTCAGGTCCTGCAAGAGAGAAAGGCGTCACTTTTTTCTCACTGCAAATGATCTGTAGCCTTGAAGTCCCTCTAGCCCCAGTTGTCCCTCTGCAGTGGTATGTGAAATGGAGAAGGTGGCCACAGCAGCTTAGAGCCAGAACAGAGGACCCAGGGTCCTTAAGGCCACAAAGGGGCTGACGCGAGACACCTTCCCCAAGACTCAGGGAAGATGCAAAGAGATGAAGAAAGGGGACTAGGTGGCCCAGGTTAACTGCTCACCATCCCCATCAAGTTCTTCCAAACCTCACAGGCTGAAGAGTTCAGCTCAGCAAAGCAAATTCCCTCCATCTGCTCACAGCCCTGATGCCCCACCCCCTCCTGAAGTCCCTCCGCCCCTTCGCCTGCCCTGCTCTGCCTTTTGTCTACCTCTGGGGCCTTTTCCTGGTACTCTCCTGGGCATCCCTCCCAGCTTTTCCCCAGCTTCTGAAGCCTTTGTTTCTCTGTCTCTGTGCCTGTTCCCAGAATCCTCAGGCTCCTACTTGGGCAAATAACACAGGAATCGACAAGAGCACCCTAGCCTGATTCCTGGCACCCCCCCCCCACTTTTTCCCAACTCCCCCCTCAAAAAAAAGTTCACACAGCTCCCTCCTCTGCAGTCCATGGAGTGTGCATGGTGTGGTGGAAGGGTAGAAGTAACCACTTCCAGAGATGTAGGTCAAGCAGGATAAAAGAAACATGGAAAGAGTGTGGGACAAGTGAGATGCAGAGAGACTCAAACAAGGTCTGTGTCTGGGGTGGGACAGGAATACAGATGGGGAAGGTACCTGTATAGGGGATCCTCCCTCCGCACTGTCTCTCTCCTTCACCCCAAGATCTCAGCAAGCACATTCTGATATCCTATTCTGATGAGGCGGAGGGAGATGCTCCCGAGAGAGTCTCTTCTCTCTTGACACACCAGCCCGTCCAATTTCAATTCCAGTTCTCTCCCAACCCCACCCTCGGTAGACATTGAGTGACAATGTCTCCATGTGATCTGATCTGGTGCTGGTGTGCAACTTTGTGTACCTGATTCCATGTGGATGAAAGTTTTCTGTGTGCGAGTAGATCACCCTGGGAGGGTGTGTCCTTTCTGGAACAGGACTGGGGATAGGAGAGGGGGCTGGTGCCAAAGGGTGGCCTGGAGGGATACTCAGTTCCCTTCTCCCTTTCAGGGGAGTGCAGAATGCTTGACCCTCTCACTCCAGCTAGATTTCTTCGTGTCACTTGGCTGTCCTCATTTCTTTGCCACATGGTAAGTATGGCATTTCTACCACCTGGTGGGCTTTCCCCTCCATTCTGGGCCTGGAGAGCCAGAAGCTAGTCAGCTTCTCTCTGGGCCACAGCACCAGGTCTGTGTGGCCCTGGCCTGAGTTTCCCATCTGGGCTGATGGGGGGAGGGAGGAAGGGAGAGAGTGCCAGGGAGGGAGGGAGGCGACTAGAGACCAAAGTCTAAGGGGCAGGGCCCTCTCGTCCCTGTCCTTCTGGTCACTGTCCTTTTATGATCTCTTTTCCAGGAGGGCATGTAACCCAGGTCTTGTGCTAAGTAGCTCCCTGGCCTCATTTACTCAACACAGGCACACTGACACAGGCTGACACTGATTCACACACACAGCTACAGAGAAGCACCCACGCGACCCAGCCGACACATGGCCCGGTGTTTGGTGTTTGGGCATTCTGGCACACTCGAGACAGCACAAGAGCACAGTGGAGCCACTCAACACTCACAAAGGATACATGGCTCCAGCACATCTACGTCTCCACATGCACACATGTAACTGACACGGGCAGTCCCACACACTCACTGGATTTCAGACATACAAAGACACCTACTCAGTGAAGTCACATGCCACCACACAGCCCACCGGAGGGCCACATAGCACATCTTGTCAGAGCTCACATGTAGCCCCTCTCTCACAGTCTTTAATCCCACTGGTCCCCCTTTTTCCCTTCACAGGCCTCCAGACGACCTCTGTGACCTCAGCATCCCCCCCATCCCCCCCCACACACACACCCAAGGTCGGGCTCCCAGCCTCCAAGCCCTGGCCGAATTAATTTCCCAAAGCGACACTCAGCAGGTTCCCTAGGGAAATCAGAGGAAGGCTGGAAGAGAGGAAAGGGCAAAGGGATGGGGCCAGGGAAAGGAGCTGATGAGAGCAAGGAAAGCTCCGTGCACGGCCACGTAATGCTGAGCCGAGGCTTTTTCGAA